CTGGGCGGGAGCTGGGGGGGGTCGCTGGGTTCCCCCCTCCGGTACCCCGCTATGAGGAGGGCCCTTGACGGAACCGGGGTGAGGCGTGCGTGGTTTTTTTTTGGAGCCCTGAGGGGGCCGGGGAGCCGGAAGTGGGCTTGGGAGCTTGGAGGGCGTCTAGGAAGAGAGAAAGTGGGGGGCCGGAAGTGCAGGTGGGAGGTGTGAAGACCGTGAGGGTTCCCCGGAAATGGGATGGGGGCCCGGAAACCGGTTGAGGGGAGGCTCCAGGGCCAGGGACGTCCCGGAAATGGAAACTAGGGAGCAGCTCGAGTGACAACAGTTGTGGCCCGCGAGGGTCAGAGGAGGGAGAGGCCGGAGGGACTTTCGACCGCAGTAAGGGGTTTGCTGCCCGGGGGGGACGGTTGAGGGCGGGCGGGGCCTTGGACGGGGTCCGCGCTGGGCAGTGTTAGTCGTGGGAAGTTGACGCTGAGGGAGGTTGACGACGAGACGGGCCTGGGCATGCGGGGCGGGGGGGCATGAAAAGAGGCCCAGAAACTTGGCTGAGAGGAGCGGAGCATCCTTGTAAAAAGACCAGAACGGGAATTGGGGGGAGGGGGTCCGATTGTCACTCCGTTCGTATTAGCATTCAAAGCGACTCGGGCGATTAATTTATTTATATATGGATTACATAAAACGTATTATACCGTTTGTCCATTCAGTTCCCCCTCTTTCTCCTCCGCCCTTCTCCACAGTGAGTGGGTTTCTACCTCAGAAACAAGTGAGAGGGGAGTTCAAATAACGAAGGTTGTAATACCCCAACCCTGGCCTCCGGGTCGCTCCCTTCCTCAGAATTAGGGAAAGCCTAAATTTCTTGGAGAAACTAATGACGACTTAAAAACACACGCCAACGGGGGGAAATAAGTTAGACGTTGAAACTCCTGCGGAGGGGCGGGAGGGAGTCGGTCCCCCCGTGTGCTGAGGGGGACGGAAGGGGCTGCTCCGAGACCCTTGCAGATTGGTCGGCGATAAGGCCGTTTTGTCTGGCGGAGGGTTCGCGTCAGCTTCAGCAGCGTGCCGGGCGGTGGGTACAGTTTAATTGCCTCGTTAGTTGCGGGGAGGAGGGACTGTACCAGTGTGTAAACATCCGTGTGTGCTTGGGGGGCGTTTAAAAGCAGGGAATCGTCCTGAGTGGACTTCCCCCTGCGCCCCTGCTGTCTCCCTCCCTGGTTGGCGTTCCTGACTCTGCCTGGGCTGCCAGATCACCCGATCCCCGGGCTTTACTCTGTTTTGTAGGCCCTTTAGTGGTGCCTGTAACTTTCAAGTCCCTTCCAGTCTCTCTAGATATTTTTCACATTTCATTTTTTAAAGACCCGTGAAGTTGAGGCTCAGAATCTCCTCTCTAAAAACAAAACAAAAAATATACACGGAATAGAAAGTTGAAAGAGCTATTGACTGGGGTGAAAAACCGAGTCTTGGAACAAAGGTCCTAGTTGTTAGAGAAAAAGGCAAGAGGCCTATATATGAGGCCTGTGTGTCGCATGTACACGGGGGATAGGGGCTTGGAGAAGGGACACAGGGTTGAGGAGTGGAATTATCAGAGGTTTAGAGACAATAAATTACAAAGGGTGTTAGTGAGGCTTATTTTAATATTCACATCATGCAAGGAGGGTAATTTTAAGTGTGAATTTTGGAATAAACAGTTCCTAGTTTTTTTTGAAACTCCCTGCTCCATATTCAGCCCCAGGAATATTGAATTAATGTGGCTTTTATAACATCTTTGTGAGATTGTTTAGGGAGTTTTTTTATTTTTTATTTTATGCTTAAGAGAGCATATTAACATGATTGGGGTTTGTGGGCTTTTTCCATAACTGCCTTTCTATGAATGTGCCAGTATCCGTAAGAATTGAATAACTGTAATTAAGATTATCATTTTTTCCATTTGCTCCCCAGTTTTTCAGGAGTTTGATGGCAAATCTGCTCAGCTGACATTTACTACTTAGTTTGTGTCCATAAACAGACGTTTTATTTTAGGTTTTCATTTACTTTCTAAAAGTTTTAAAATATTTTTTGCAGTTAGAGTTCTAGAAGGTGCTAAACTAAAATAATTATATTTTTTAAATGAAGGGGATGCTGGGCCAGGATAAAATCAATGTTTTTTCCCCAAGTAAATTTGGAGTAATGTTTAACATTCCATTCTAACTTTAAGATTACTGGATTTATGTTATCTCCATAAGGTTTTATTATCCTATTTTAAAGACTCCATCCTAACAGACACATCTGGTTTAGGAATTCATACCTTAACAGTAGGTACCTGTGTGACCTTGAGCTATTCACTTACCTTATCTGGTCTACAGTACTTCTTTATCTGTAAAACGGGGTACCTCGCTGGGTGGTTGTGAGACTCAGTGAATATAATGGTTGTGAAAAACGACAAACAGCTAAATAAGTGTAAGATATTATTTTAAGAAAATAACATTAGTTATTTTGAGATCATTAAGAAAAACAACAGAGTTTCTGTCCTGGCCAGTGTGTTCAGTTGTTTGGCATATCCGTTATACCAAAAGGTGGCAGGTTCAACCCCTATTCAGGAGAGGAGACATGGGTGTTTCTCTCCCCATCTTTCCCCTCCCTCTCCCTGTCTGAAAAATCAATAGAAAATGAAAAGAATAAAAGTTTCTTATCAGTGGTGGTGATTGGGGGAGGTTGATGGTAGTTTGAAAATAAGAAGTTACAGCACTTTATAATTTTAAATTGCTGCTAAAGTAGTGGAACTTGTGCCCAATTTCTATCTGTTGAAGTAATTTTTGTTTTGCATCAACATGCTAGGTAATTTTTTACCATACAGCCTACTGAATAAATTTGTTAACCCTCTTTAGAAAAATTTCAAACAAAAATTTCTTTACATTTTTATTATTTTTTTGTCGGAATTTTCTTTCTTAATTCCTTCATCTTTTTCACCCAGCTTCCCCAATCCCCCCTCTGACAGCTGTCAGTTTCTCTTTTGTTTGTTAGTTTATTTTGTTAATTAGATTCACATATAAGTGAAATCATATGGTACTTGTCTTTCTCTGACTGGTATATTTCACTTAGCATAGTACTCTCCAAGGCAATCCATGGTGTCAGAAAAGGTAAGATTTCCTTTTATTCCGGCAGAGTAGTAATCCATTGTGTAAATGTACCACAGCTTTTTTTATTCACTTATCTTTCTACTGAGGGGCACTTGGGCTGCTTTCAAATCTTGGTTATTGTAAATAATGCTGCAGTGAACATGGGAGTGTCTATGTATTTTGAATTAGTGTTTTGGGTTTCTCTGGGTATACTCCCAGAAGTGGAATTGCTGGGTCATAAGGCAGTTGTTTTTAAGTTTTTGAGGTAACTCCATGTTGCTTTCCACAGTGGCTGCACCAGTCTGCATTCCCACCAACTGCACTAGAGTTCATTTTCTCCACATCCTCACCAACACTTGTCATTTTTTACATTTTAATTATTGACAAAATATGTACCTAATCTTGGTTTGTGGCTCTTCTGAAACTTTCTAATGGAGACTACAATTAAGGAACATTTCTGAATCTCAATCTTTTATTTTTATAGAGAGTCTAGGGAGGTTTTTTTATTTTTGTTTTAATTTTAAATGGATGGGTGGGAATCTTTTTGAGCAAATGTGGTAACAATTGCCCTTTTATTTTTTCTTCTTTTTGTTGAGGTAATTAGATGGACTCAAGTATAAAATGTGACCAGCTTGTTGCTTCTCTCCTTCACTCCAGCTCTTGCTACTGCCAGCCTGACCCTTCACTTTTTCCTCATTTAAATTGTTTCAGGTTCATTTCAACTCACCCTTCAAATCACTTTAAGACTTTTTATTTTATTTCTTGGTTGTCAAGGTATGCTTCATTTTGGGATTATAGTGCTAAATTTGTTGGTATGTTGCTTTTTCTAGTTGTGATTTTTTAAATTAAATTTATTGGGGTGACATTGGTCAACATGAACATAATAGGTTTCAGGTGTGGGTTTCTAAGCACTTTGCCTTTGTTTCCATGCCTGGATTATAGGCTTCCTGAGGGTAAAAATGTCACCATGTTCTTCATAAACCCAATTGAAAATAATACCTATTTTCCTTTCCACTCCAAACCAATAAAGTTAGCCTGGGCTTGCCTACTATGTAGTCAGTCTTCCTGCTTCGAAAGGATCTTGGTCCTAACAGATTCCTCAGGGTGCTGTTTGGTTTAGTGATCACAGCCTCTTTAAATCGTCCTGACTACTGTGACATCAGAGTGCCTAGATCAGGGGTCCTCAAACTTTTTAAACAGGGGGGCCAGTTCACTGTCCCTCAGACCGTTGGAGGGCCGGACTATAGTTTAAAAAAAAACTGAACAAATTCCTATGCACACTACACATATCTTATTTTGAAGTAAAAAAACAAAACGGGAACAAATACAATATTTGTATTTTCATGTGGCCCGTGGGCCGTAGTTTGAGGACCCTTGGCCTAGATAGAGTGCCGGAATAAGAATTTGGTGGGTAATACACAATAAATATAACTTGTAGATTGTTAAATACTCTTGGTGTTTGTAGTTCTTAACATTAACTTGTAATAGCTTCATGTTTGTGTATTATTTTATAGTGCTTGTGTATAGTTCAAATAGCTGTTACAGATTTTTCTAAAACAAAACCTTAGCCATTATTCTTTATAATCTCTACCTTGTCTG